TACGAATGGCCGGACTTATGCCGCGTTCAAGTCCTCCTGGGACGTTCGTACTTACGAGTTGACAAGTCGTAATTACGACGTCAGGTGCGTTCAAGTCAGTTTAGTCAGCACAAGATGGCGGTGTACCTTCTTTTAATAAATTACAAGAAAATACAACAAGGTCTGCATTTTTTTACTTGGATTTCAGCTGTGTAACAAGAACATGACCAATTTAAGTTTATAGGACAACTAAACTATCAATTTAAACAAAAATTTACCATCAACTACAGACGTTGCATCCATCGATTCCGCCATGTTTCTCATTGACACGCCCCCAACTTGGAAACTCGGGGCTTGAAAGAAAATTTCGAGCTTCCCACTCGTAATAACGACTTTGTGGTGGCGTTCATGTGCGTTCAACTCGTAAATACGATCTATCCGACATGACTTGAACGCACCATATGTAAATACACTTACAAGCTGCTTTTAACTTCCTCTGATAAAGACTGCTTCTCTCAAAGAGTATTTCTTTACACTGTTTTCTGCTGGCGCTTGAACACACTTTCCTTATTTTTTCCACAACAAATGGCCAAGCAAGCGCAGACACTGACAAGATACGTGATACAGAATGAGACCAAACGCGATATCAGCACGTCTCCACACAGATAAAACAAATTTTTAGATAAAACAAAAAATACAGAGGTAGTAAATCAAAAATTATGTACCATTCAGCAGATCATTATACAGTTTCACAAATTGATCTAGCTAATACTTATGAGCACATTCCCAGTTCTACTCACGTAGTCACCCAGTTGACCAATCAGAGAGCGCTGAGGAACCAGACAGCCAATCAGAGAACAGATCCGTGCTCCGTTTCTGAGTGAAGGAGGAAAGGGGCGGAGCTACAGTCAGGCAGTGAAATCAAGGCAGTGGCGTCGTGGTATGTTTGTAACTTACTGCGGAAAGTTTCCAGCTGAAATCTTGCGATATTCACAATGTCATGACAGTTAAAGCAGCCTTTAAGGTAAGTATTTTACCACGTCATTCAAATATAGTCGCCTTCTTGGCGGAAAGTGACCCGTCTTTTTATACGAGAGGTGAATCTACATATAAACATGATTTCCGCATCAACAAACCTCAGTCAACAACAAACGTATAAATTCACTCTCACACCTGAAATTCACTGTATTTCTCGAAAATAATTACGAGATATCGTACATTTGAACATGGTACCATGGTAATACCACAGTATGTACTACGCTGTGCCATGTACATTCAGTACCATGGTAAATCTCAGAGTACCATAACCTCCCATTAGTTTACCATAGTAGTGCCACAATGCCGTCTTTAAAATGAAGATAAACTGAAATCATCACGTGTAGTTAATGCATAAACACATAATAGTTATCTAAGACTTTTATTATTGTAGTGTCTTGATAGTAGTTTGGTTATAATGTGGCTTAACATTTGCTTTGACACATTTGTAAGATTCCTTCAGTCACATGGGTGTCACATGGCTAAGTATTTCTCTCTAAAGAGCTGTGTACTACCTCTGGTGACACATTAGCCTTTATTTCACTGTCCCACAGCTTCACTGGTACCTGTACCAACGTCCAGAAGAGCCAGAGCGGCTCGCATCCCTCCTCTGATTGGACAGCAGGGACTCCGGACGTCATGGCAACAGTATCCCGCGGATCATGGAAGTGAGTGATGAGTTTGACAGCGGGATGGAGGCCACAGATGACCTCGCGTCGTTTGAGGTGGTCAACCTGTCGAACCCGGGCCTGCTGGATCTGGGCACAGACGTCGACGGGCACGTCCAGGAGTCAAAGGACAGGACCAAACTCAAAACAAAACTCATTTCAGCGTGGAATAATCTCAGATATGGAGGTGTGTGGTCAGTTTTTTATAAAAACCTTTTTTTTGGTGTCTAACATTTTTATTTCTTCCAATTTAAGTACTCAAGAAACATTTTATTATTATCAATGTTGAAAACAGTTCCATCCATGATATGTTTCAGTTCTCAGGATTCTTTCATTAATAGAAAGTTGAAAAGAACAGCATTTATTTGAAATATAAATATTTTATAACATTATAGATGTCTTAATAGTCACTTTTTATCAGTGCAGTGCATCCTTACTGAATATAACTATTGATTTCTTTAAATAACTTTCAGTACATACACTGCTGATCGGGGTCAGTAATGTTTTTCAAATGTTTAAAGAAGACTCTTCTGCTAACCAAGGCTGCATTTATAGGATCAGAAATACAGTAAAAACAAACAAACAAAAACTGTGAAACATCATTATAAAAATAACTGTTTTCAATGTGAATATATTGTAAAATGTAATTTATTGCTGTGATCAAAGCTGAATTTTCAGCATCTTTACTCCAGTCTTCAGTGTCACATGATCCTTCAGAAATAATTCTAATAGGATGATTTGCTGCTCAAGAAACATTTCTGATTATTAATGTTGATAACAGTTGTGCTGCTGAATATTTTTGTGGAAAGTGGAAACTGATATATTAAATTTTTCTTTGATTATTTGATGAATAGAAAGTTCAGTAGAATAGCATTTATTTGAAATAGAAATATTTTGCAACATTTTAAGTGTATTTACTGTCACATTTAATGAATTTAATGTGTCCTTGATGAAGAAAAGTATTAATTTCTTTCAAAATTTTGAACTGTAGTGTATATTTTTTATATCAAATGATAGCTGATAGATTTGTAGTCTTTTGATAGTTCTACTGTTTTGACCTTGACCTTCCTCCCTCACTAAACGACTCGTTTCACTAAACCCAGATTTTGAAGCCAGGCTCTACTACACACATTGTCAACATGAATCTGTCATCTTGACACACTGTTTCTGTGCAGGCTGGTCTCTGAAGAGCAAGCCGCGTCTCAGTAAGAGCAGCCCCGTGTGTCTGCCCTATCAGCTCTATCAGCTGAGCTACAGCGGTAAGCAGGACAGGACGGTTATGTCTGTGAGTGAGGGGTCTGTTTTCACTTTTTCACTGTAAGCTTGTGTTTTTTTCTCCCAGGAGAGCGGGAGAGTTTCCGGCGGGCGTTCTCCTCTCTGCTGTGGATGACCTACAGGAGAGGTTTCCCGCCGCTGGACAGCTCGGCCCTCACTTCTGACGCGGGATGGGGCTGCATGCTCCGCAGCGCACAGATGCTGTTAGCTCACGGACTAATGCTGCACATGATGCCCGCGGGTACAAACACACTGCATGGACTTAACCCTTTAATGCATTCAGACCTTTTTAAGCTGTGAGACATTCTGAATTTGTTTCATGTTTCATAGGGTTTAGTATGGGATTAATTAATATTGGTCTGACTGAACTTGGAACATGTCAGACTATAATCTATAATAATACATATCAGGACAAAAGACCATTTTTGACCTGGAAGAAATTGTAATAGTTTGTAAAAAAAAAAAAAAAAAGAACTTTAGTACTTTGAAAGAAACTTCAGAAAAAATTTTAAACGTTTTTAAAAAAAAAAAAAAAAAAAAAAAATCGGCTTTTCTGACCACATTTTAAAAATGTGTAAAGCCTGTTTAATATTTTGTTTTGACATTTTCTCCTTTTTTCTTTATTTTCTTTGTGTTTTTGTTTTATTTTATTGATATATTACCATATAAAAATATATTATTGGATTCAGCTTTTTCATATAACAATGTATTCAAATAAACTTTTTCATAAATGTGTGTGTGTGTGTGTGTGTGTGTGTGTGTGTGTGTGTGTACACTGTATATATATATATATATATATATATATATATATATATACAGCACAATTCAGCATTGCATCACAGGAATAAGCAACATTTTACATCATATTCACAAAGGAAACTTTATTTTAAGTTGTACTATACTTGCACTGTTACTAACTGCATATTATGTACAAAAATAAGAACGTCATTATCTGGTCTTGTTGACTCTCTTCAGGCTGGACGTGGCCTGCGACGTATCATCAGACCAAAGATGACCTGGAGGTGGTGGACACTCACATGCTGGACGATTCCCTCAGAGAGAGCCGGCGTGACTCGGGAAAGCATCGCAGACGCAGTCTGGGAACCGCGCTAGACTGCGAGACTCACGAGGAGCGGACTCACAGGAGGATCGTGTCCTGGTTCGGCGATCTGCCCTCTGCCCCGTTCGGCCTGCACCGGCTGGTGGAGTTGGGCAGGGCCTCTGGGAAGAGAGCGGGCGACTGGTATGGACCGGCCATCGCTGCTCACATACTGCAGTAAGTGAACCATGCAGTGGGTTAAAGCACAGGGGGACTTCATGAACTGCCACATGCATAAATGTGAGGAAATGTGAATGTGATTGGATGAGCTATATTTGAAGCCGATATACTATCACCTGTGACCACAGATCTGAGCACTGTATTAAAGGGATAGTTCACACAAAAATGAAAATTCTGTCACTCTGACCCTCCCATAGACAGCAATGTAATTATCACGATCAAGGTCCAGAAACGTAGCAAGGAGATCGGTAAAATAATCCATGTGACATCAGGGGTGATGCAGCTGACACAGAATAGCGTACCCTGTTTACGCTATGGATACTCTCCAAAATGGCGCCAGGGTGACACGGAGGAGATGAATTGTTGAATAAAGTCGTTATTTTTGTTTTCTTTGAGCACAAAAAGTTTTTTTGTAGCTTCGTAAAATTACGGTTGAACCACTGATGTCACATGGATTACTTTTACGATCTCCTTGCTACGTTTCTGAGCCTTGATCGTGTAAAGATCCTTGCTGTCTATGGGAGGGTCAGAGAGCTCTCATTCATACAATTCTGCAAA